GAACAGGTCGGTCCGCCGAAACTTCCACTCCAGCGCGGATCGACCACTCCTTCGCGCTCACTGGGCAACCGGGGGCAAGGCCAGGAGGTTGACCAACTCGCCGAACAGGTCTAACTTGGGGTCCACAGGCTTCTTGGTCATCTCGAACAGGAGATCCCAGATACTGTCGAAGTCTGGGTATCGTCGAGAGCAGCCTAACGAGTCACTGGTCTCCCACTCGCCTCGGGAGATTTGGTCTGACAGGTTGGCCTTACTGGCGACTCTGACAAAAATCAGATTGAGTTTGGCTGAAGCAGCCCAACACCAAAACCAACCTAACAGGTTCGTAAGGAGGGGGTCTTTTGAGTAGCCTTTCTTGAGGGCGTGTTCACTGGCTACGTTGTCGATGAAGCACAAAACGTCACCTGACAGGACGTGGGCTGCTGCGGCAATGCTCACGATCTGGCCAATAGCCTCCAACCAGAAAATGAAGGCTTTGGTAGAGGCGGCTCTTGCTAACAGGTGACTAGGGACCTTGGTTCTGTAAGCCCACCTCTGTCCTGAGTTTGCGAACAGGACTGCTCCGAGTCCGTTGACGGAACCTCTCAAAGCTTGCAAAGGTGTGGTTTGTTTTAACCACCTGGCAGCTGACTGGGAGCAACCTGCCAAAGTCACAAAGGCATCCGCGTAGAGAACGTGCGGACGTGACTGGTTCACTCCTCTGCGCAATGGGAACCCACGGGGTTTTAGGGAAGGCAAGAGGGCTAGGAGGTTTCTTAGGGCAGCTTCAAGGGGTTCGTTAAGCTTCTTCTGCGGGAAGGGAGAGTGCTGACGGGTGTATATGCACTTAAGCAAGGCTTTACCGGCACCTCCAAAGACCCACGAGCACACGAAGTTGAGTTTGCCTGCCAGGTGAGCGGCCTCGTCAGGTGTCAGGCTGTTGTCTGACAGGTGTTTTTTGAGTAGTGCCTGGAGCTTCTCCAGGCGCCCTTGGCTGGGTCCCGCTGTGGCTGTCTGCTGGAGGATCTCCCACAGGACCCCTAACAAGGTGGACTTGGAACAGGGCTTCTGAGCCTTGCTTTCTTTCATGGTGAAGCCTAACAGGGACTGCAGAAGACAAAAACATTCAAAGGCAGATTCTGCAGTCGTGTCGGGTTCGCTGAAATAGAAGTCGTCCACAAAGTGAGATGCTGGTATATAAGCCAAAACTAACGTTATCAGGCAAATTACATCAGCGATTCTCAAGTAAGCCCAGACACTACCTGTCCCTCCGAAAGGAAGGACGAGGTGTTGGAAGACCTCAGGTCCTTTGTCTGACGGGACGAACACAAAGCATTCGTCTGGGTCCCTAACGGGGAGTGCCCTATAGGCACCATCATGGTCAAGGGCTGCCAGTACAGGCTGGCCGAAGTCAGCAGCTGCTTGCACTGACGTGAGCACTGTTTGCGTACCTGCGTACGGTGGAGAGTCAAGGACAAACACCGTGCTGTTGTGTCCTGACCGGCGCCAATCATCTGCTCGGCGCACCTTGTCTTGCTGAACTACCGGGAAGGCTCGGGACCCGAAAGCTGCTGGGGAGTCTGCCACTTCGGCAGGCACGAACGGGCCTTGGAACCTGGTCTTGAGCATCTCCTTGTGAACCTCGGCTAACATGGCAGGGGCGTGTTCGGAACCTCCCTGCTCCTGAGCCAGGGTCTTCTTATGGTCGCTGTTCAGGGATGCGAACTGGGATTTTGTCAGAGGCCTGCTATATTTTGCGTCCTGTCGGACGTCCCAGTTTGTGCCAGGAGGGAGGGGGCCTAGAACCTTAAACCCGAACTGGAGTTCGTCAGCAAGGTCCTGAACTCCAGGGAACTCAAACAGGCGCAAAAGGTGCAAAACCACTAAGGGCTGTAAGACGAACTTGTCACCGCCTTGCTTGTACACCAGTCGAACGTGGTGTGGTGCGGACTGCAACCAAACTTCCTGTTCGTCTTGTAGGTCTTCTCGGAGTGACTGGACGTCCCGGACGACCTCTTGTCTCCACCTTGTAAGTTCGGGGCCGAAGGACTGGCCAAACCTAAGTGCCCATGTTAGACACGGGTTGTGAGGCGGGAAGTTCAAGGCGACGCTGTCGATGCGCAAGGCCCACTGAAGGTGTTCTAAAGGGTCGTCAGAGGGGCCTAGTAGCTGTAAGGCTTCGGCCTCGCGTGGGTCCCACTGCAGGCCGGACCTCAACCAGACGGCTGCAGCTTGCTCCACTGGTCGTGCACCTAACGGGTTTAGGTTAGAGGACCAAGGTAGCGGTACAACTGTCGGGTACCACGCCTCGACCGGTCCGGACGTGACTGGGATCACGCTACAAGCGGCCAGAAGCACGAACAGTAGGAAGCGTGCTGTTGGAAGATGCCAAGAGTTTCCCAGCATCTTGCACCTGCTCTTCTCGCTAACTGGCTGGCCTGGGGGGAGTGTCGTTCCTGCAGGAAGTCCTTGCAGCCACTCACGAGTTGCGGCATCAGGAGTCGTCAGCCGCCCCTGAATAGTCACCAGGGCTCGGGTGCGATACTGATACGGCGGGAACTGACGGGAAGCGGCGGCCCACCTTCGCAGAGTTTCAGGGCTTTCGGTGCGTCTGCGTTTCTGTGGTGGGTCCCTGCCGCTCGCAGAAGGTGCTGGCGTCGTGAGACATGGAAAAACTGACCGATTGGCCACCACGTCTGGATGAAAAACTGCGGACGGGCAGTCGGCCGCGTTCTGCCTTGGGAACAAGTTCGAACTTGGAACCAACTGCCAACAGCGATTATTATAGCGTCGCCAGCGCGCTAGTCCTGCAAGGACTACTGGTGGTTGGTTGCTGTCTAACGTGGGCGGCGTCAACACGTTCGACCACCAGAGCCTTGGCCGCGAAACCACTCCCCAGGAGGCCGCGTCAACCACAAAGGAGTTGTGGCCAACTAACTTATCCAGTTCGCGGTGAACTTCAACTGACGGGAGGACGTTCTCAACTAGGAAGACGTGTTGCAACTTCAAGGCCTTCCGAAAGGAAGAAAGCCACTGGCACCACTGACGGAACTTACAGCCTTCCTGACCTTGCAAGCCTGGCGGTGAGGTTCGGACTTGACTGAAGTCGGTGCACGGGGGGCTGGAGCACACCAGAACCAGTGTGTCAGCAGGACACTGTGCGTGTAAGAGGGATGCTACCTGACTGGGGTCAGAAGACAAAGCATCACCCCAGTGACGGGTCGATGGGGAGTGGGCCGAAGTAACGCGGCGGCATTCAGGGTCTGTCTCCCAAGACCAAAGGAGAACGGGTTGTATGCCCAAGTCACGTAACGGCAGAAATGTAGTCCCAATGCCGCAGAAGAACGAGAGGACTGCAATCCCTCTGGAAGAAGGGACAGGTGCCCGACAAGCCGACAAGGGGAAGGGTTGTTCTGTGCAGGCAACTGTGAGGAGTGCGGTGACGAGGATTTCTGGCCAAGTCCAAGGGGGCCTGACGGGGAAGTGAAGCTGTGTTGCAGTGGGAGCTCACCTGAAAGGGAGCTCGACGCACGGGTGCCAGAAAGGTGGTGCTCGACCTGACGGGAGCACAGCACACGGGTGTGGGTACTGGGAGGTTGCACGTGGGGAGCAGTTGAGGTAGGGAAGGCAGATTGCGCACAAGTCGTGCTGAGTGAAGGTTGAGTTGAGGAGCCTGACGCAGACTGGGAAGACAGAAAGTTGCCGGAGTGTCGCACGCTGGAGTGCGCGCCTGGCAGAGTGCAAGCCTGACTGGGCGCAGCTGTCTGCGGTCGCACTGAGTTAGGGCTAGGGTTTGGGCCTGCACACCCGGAGGGTGCAGGACGACACGGGTTAGGGACACTGCTGCACGGACCTGACGTGGGCGTCGAAGCATGGGTTTTTGGGCCTGCACACCCGGAGGGTGCAAGGAGACACGGGTTAGGGAAGCTAAAAGGAGCCTCTGCCAGGGAAGTCCGGACCGGGGTCTTAGGGCCTGCACACCCGGAGGGTGCAGGAAGACACGGGTTAGGGAAGCTGCTTAGCGCGCCTGACGGGGTAATCAAAGCTGACACCTGAGGCTGCGGAGTGTTCAAGGTGGGGTGTGTCTTCTGCCCTTCTTGTAAACGGTCGGCTCTCGCTGACGGGGCAGACAGCGGGCCGCGCTGTCCCT